GCAAAGCCAAAGATATTACTGAGTGGACTGGTGAAGCTAGCAAGTAGTTTATGGAAGTTAGTGACACAGACGTGCAGTGACTAGCCGAGAGAAGCTAGTCGCTAACGTAGCGATGTTCATTATCCTGCTAGTAACTAGCTGCTCTTTATGTTTTATTAATGCTTCCATCTCTTTATGATAAAATATTGTCTCATTGGTTTTGGTGCAGTGAAGCCTCAAAGTGTTCAGAACCGCGTGAATATTCACCGTTTTTACCCCAGATGGTGTTTTCTTATTTGACCAACAGAAAAGACAAACAACGGATGTCTTTTACTGGTTTAACTCATCTCTGACATTTATTTAACTTTCATTGTTTCATTATTCAATTAATATTATTAATTCTTCTAAATTAGAGCCTTTTTCCATTTAATCAGTTATTATGTTTATTTTCTGTTTACTGTCATCCGTCTGTATTTACCTTTTACCTGTTGATCACCTGTCCTGTATGAACGCTGCTGTTTGACTCACACATGATGATCTCTGGTGTGTGTATGTGTGTGTGTGTGTGTGTGTGTGCCTGCAGGTGTACTAAACAGGTGTATGTTGTTGTGTGGTTGTGCTGCTGCTGGTGAGTCTCTGCTGCCACCTGCTGCTCAGTCGCTCAAACAGCAAACACACAAACATTCCAGCACAAGTTTTATTTGACAGACTGAAGCTGTTCAGGCAGACGAGACGTTTGTTTTGCAGTAATACTGAGACGAGGTCAGCTGACAGGTGGACCCGCGGCCTTCTGGGAAACGGAGTCCATACGGGGGAGGTTTCAGTCGTCGCCTCCACACAGGCTGAGCAGGGCCTTCTGGTAGTCGCCCTTCGTGTGCTCCTGAAACACAGCACAGCGTGAAGAGCATCAGTCAGACAGCAGCAGGTTCACATGTAGGAGGAGAGACTCAGCAGCACCATGCTCATTATTATTATTAATATTATTATTATTAATAATATCTGATACAGATAAAAGAAAAATTAAAGCAAATAAATGTGTAAAACTCAAAGTGCATATGTTCTCAGTAAAATCTGTAACGACTGTGCAGTGAATAAATATTATACATTTACAATAATATGATGGTTTTTTTTTTACCAATAATCAGCTGATATGCAGCATTTTTGTTATTTCACTTATTTAATATTTTTATTTTTTAAACTGACTATTTTATTAATATTTTGAGACACATTGATCTTAAAAAATATTTTTGCTGTTAAATAATAAGAACAAATCAATAGTTTGATGTATAAAAATCCTTTACTGGTCTGAGACTGATCATTTGTTTGAGAAATTTATATTTGAAAAACTTTTTATTTTATATATATTTTTGGGCTTTTGTCTTTATTCAGAGCAGCAGAGCGCTGCACTGGGGGACTGTAGCTAACTAGAGCTAACTAAAGCTAACCACAGCTAACCACAGCTAACCATAGCTAACCGTAGCTAACTACAGCTAACCGTAGCTAACCACAGCTAACCATAGCTAACCACAGCTAACTACAGCTAACTACTGCTAGCTATAGCCTGTTCATGGGTTGCTGCTCAGCTAGGGGGCGCCATGAAGGAACACTTGATAAAGAACTTTAATCTGCATCGTTCTGTGTGGTTATCATTATAAACTCATTGTGCTGAACTTCTTTGCTCTCTTTGTGTTTTCTAAACGCTGATTTAATCAAGTTTTTATTCCTGAGCACTGATCCTGTGGGAAAAAAATGTAGATCATCAGTTAAATTAAGTTGGAATACAGAAAAAAAGCTCCTTAACTTCAGTTAACGTAAAATCTTTTGTATAAATGTCATTTCTAATGTCTGACTAACATAAATTACACATTTTTCTAATTAACAGTTTAGTTTTCGGGTCATGAAGTGAGCTGGTGTCTCTGTGGTGCGTTCAGGGTCGAAGCCTGTGTGGGGCGTTGCAGCGACTCACAGCGATCGTCTGGTAAAGCGACTTCTTGTGCTGCCTCTTGAACTCTGTCCTGATCTTCATCAGGTCCACTTCACAGCGAGACACCATGATCCTGGTCACCACCTTCTCCTTCGCGCCTTTACTCTGAAAGGACAGGAACATCAGCAGGGCGACGGGATGACGGAGGACCAACGTTTTCATCACAAACGCCGTCAGACTTTACCTTCATGGCTTCTTGGAGTCTGTTGGCGAAGTAAAGCTGCCTGTTTTCAAAGCACTCGACTGTGAAGAGAAGAAGATCAGCGTTCAGTCCACATGTTCTCATGTCTGAAGGACACTTACAAGCTTTATGTTGCCTCATCTCTGTAGCGGTAGCTAGCATAGCAAAGCTAGTGACAAGTCTGGGTAAGCTAGCTGCTAACATACAGATATTGAGTAACCTAAAGATGCTACCTGTTAGCTTAAGTATACTAACGACAAGCCAAGCAGGGCTAGATGCTACCATTCACATATTATTGAGTAGGCTAAAAAGGCTGTCAACTAGCATAGGGATGCTAGTGATTAGCCCAGGGATGCTAGTAACCAAGCTTTGGATGCCATTAACGATCATGAGGATGCTAGTTGCCAGTCTAGGGCTGGTAATAACTAGTCAAGGGATGCTAGCTAACATAAATGTATTACTGAGTAGCTAGAGAAGCTAATTACTAGCTTAGGGAGGCTGGTGACAAGCTGAGATGCTAGTTACTAATATAGAAATATTGAGTACCCAAGGGATGCTTATTGCTAATAGAGATAATATGGAGTAGCCTAAGGATGCTAGTTGCTAACATAGAGCTATTGAGTAACCTAGGGATGCTAGAATTATTATTGAGTACTATGATAAGCTAATGCGATGGTAGTCGCTAATAGAGATAATATGGTGTAGCCTACAGATGCTAGTAGCTAGCGTAGGGAGGCTAGTGACAAGCATAAGGAAGCTATTTGCTAACATAAAGATATTATGTAGCCTAAGGATGCTAATAACAAGGATAAAGATGCTAGTCACTGAACCAACA